TCTCTCTCTCTCTCTCTCTCTCTCTCTCTCTGAAAATTAGCACATCAGGAAGATGTGCTGTGCCATTGCTTCATCTTGGCACTCTAGTAAGACATGTAAAATTTCTAATAAGCATTTCAAAGTAACAGAGTTTCAAAACTGGGTTTTCTCCCTCACTGTATCTTAATTTAAAACTGGCTGATATAAATATTATAGCTTCACTTATCATCCCTTTGCCCCATCACCACAAATACAAAGCTAGGAGCCAGCTGACTGCCACGTAAGGAAGGGAATAGAAACAGAAAAAGGCATAATTTCCTCCCAGATATACATAATGCTGCTTTCATTATTTGAAACTAGGAATGATGCTCAAAGCCATATGCAGCTTAATATTTTGTTTGGAGAGAATATATAGGTAAGTCATCCAAATCATTTTATAATTTCCTCCCAGATATACATAATGCTGCTTTCATTATTTGAAACTAGGAATGATGCTCAAAGCCATATGCAGCTTAATATTTTGTTTGGAGAGAATATATAGGTAAGTCATCCAAATCATTTTTTCCCATGATAACAAGCAGTATTCTCATTCAGTTATATAGTAGAGTCTTCTCTTAAACCAATACCGGCAGGCAATACTGAGTTAACTATTTTTTATTACCATTAAAAACTACAATTATATAAATATCAATATATGAGCTTATTATTCTCCCTCACATTTAAAACACCAAAATTAATTTGATTTTTCCTGATTTGCACATTTTAAATCTGAGGGATTTCAGAACAGCTGGATGAATAATGTTATTTTAATTTTAAGTACCCAAGGGTTTAGAAAGCCACTGTAATTTATGTAATCAATTTCTCATTTCCAGAAACATGATAACACAGAATATCAATACACTGTCCTGAAACATGTTTTGATATCACACTGATTCTAGTCATCAAAAAGCTAAACTCGAGTCTTGTTACGCTCCTTGTGTTCAGAAATTTAGCCAAGGTGTTTTACGTGCTTGGATATTAGTGTTGGCTGTACTAGGTAATCTGCTGACTTTGCAAATCACAAATCCATCAGGTTTCTTTAAAAATAATGGGACATTCTAGTACCAGATTGTTTTCTGTTTGGATTTCTAGTATATGCTATAAATGATTCGGTATTTCAATACTTTAACTGGGAAGAATAGACAGACATCTTGCAAGTATCAAACGAACAATTGTTTAAAAAGATTTAATTGAAATATAATTATTTACTTTTTTTATTGTAACCTAGAAATTGCACTTTTGATGCAGGTCAAATTACTCAAATAAAACTAACA